TAGTATAAAGATACAATCAGGTAGCAATTATTTAAAATATATATAAATACATTGTATTTGCAATTATATTTTTTAATTAATCTTATTTTCAGCCGTTTATAAAGTTCATGAGCGCAGTGATTCAAGCAGAGAGGCTCAGATCTCCTTCTCCCCGACCACTTCCTTCAGCTCCTCTGGGATATTATCTCCAGTGTAGGCCTACCTGGGGCCTCTTCCAGTAAGACATACCTGAAAGCCCCCACCTGGGAGGCACCCCCACACAAATCTTATTAAAATGTTTTATTTATTTCATTTATTTTGGATTTTTACAGCTTTGGTCCTCCAAAGCTAAGGAAGAAAGAAACGAAGAAGTAAAGTTTATTTAAGAAAAGTCCCGTGCATGACTTTGGTAATAAGACATCTTTATTAATCATTTGGAGAGACATGCTAGATTTCTGTACAGTGTGAATGGAAAGCCAGAGCACAGGGCTTCCCCCCCCCCACATCCTCAAACACACAACGCCTCCCCCAACAAGACATCTGCTGCATCACTTGGTCCATTTCAGGAGAAATGTTAACAGGAAACAACGAAACAAAGGTGGACTTTTATATCGAAGGGGAATAAATACGAGTGTGTGAGTGTGTAATGATCAATCATTTTGCTGTGATTTGAAACATAAATACCTCCCTCCTCACGAGGCAGCAACACAAAGAGAGTAAACATTACAAGACTTTCATTTTGAGGGATTCAAACTTAAAATCCAACCTGCAAAACAGTATGTTCCAGTCCAGATCTCCCATCATATTTGACCAATCCCGTCTCTCACTAGTCTTATTATTTGGCTCATTATGTGGGTTAGAAAGGTTCACTAGCTTTCACCAGAGTGCTCCCCCATTTATTTTTTTGTGTGGTTTTTTTTTGTGTGAACGTGAACAATTCCTACATGTTTGATTCTACTCTAAGACACAGTAAATATTATTATTTTTTAACCATGTTTCTAAAACATCAACATCGTCACTCTAAATCTAAAACATGTTCTTAAAAAGTGCAGGAAAGATTTCACCTCAAAGACAAGTCAAAGTAGTGTTCTGACTGACTTCACAACCGCCACGTAATCCTACGACTCTGGACATTTTTAAGAGCCGTTTGCAACCTTGCATCATACAAACGGCAGCAGTCAGTTTAGGTGCTAGTATGAGGATCCACTGGTGTCAAAATTACATTTGTACGGCTGCTGTCTATGTGGCCAAAACATGCCCGAAAAGTCGCCCTGCTCGTTTTACCGGATTTGAAAAAACTGGCCGCGTTTTTTAAACTTTCATGTCTGTTCACAAAAACGAGAGACAAGCAGAGCAGCACTTAAAAAAGACGAGAGCCTCATCCAATATAGGATTTATACTTATTACAAGGGATAAAATAAATAGAAAGACACATGACGTCATGGCATCATCTGGAGCAGAGTCAGTCCCAGACTAGTGGGTGTTTTTGCCCAACAGCAGCAGATCTCTGCTGACCCACCTCGGCTGCAGGGTGGGCATCGGACTCGTGTGCCTCTAAGTACAGGGCATTCATTGCTGGTTATGATTTTTCCATTCCTTTATATGACAATAAAACTCGAAACTTGAAACCTGCACTGCAGCCACAGGCGTGTAAAGGAGCACCAACTGTTGGGTGCTTTCAAAGCAGAAAAATTAAAAGAGATCTCCAGACAAAAGCTAGGGATCCTTCATCCAGGGAAACCTTTTGACTTTTTCTTCGTCTGCACAGACACCTAGTTGACCGAAGGGCTCTCGCTCAGTCGGCTGTGCCTGAACTGAATTAAATACTAAGTGAGTCTGAGCTGTTAGGGAAGAGCATTTTGACATGTAACACAGTAAAATCTTTTAAAAAGCCAGCTCTGTAGCATAAATGATGGAAAAATAATGATCAGGTGAGGTTATAGAACTTCAGCAGACTTTTGGCACTGAATAATCATCAGTTGACTTTGCTCTAGACTTTGATCAAAAAAACAAATGAAAGAGACGCAACCTCACCTCATCACTGGACTATGGATCATCTTATATTAGTATAAGAGACAGTCTGACTGCATCTTTATTTTATGAGAAGCCAGAGTCAACGTCTGTCCATGGTTGGTTTTTCACCATCATACCGACAGCAGTTTTTACGTCGCTTCACAGTCACGCTCGACAGAATCACTGCAATCATTTGCCTCAAGATTCTGTTGGAAGCCTGTTTGCACTGCATGCATTGCAAACACAGCTGACAAATGCTTAGTGTGTCTTTGTGTGAACATAATTATGGCACAAATGGATCCTCATACTACAAACATAAAAAACAACAACAACAACAACAAAAAAACCTCATCTCAGTGGGAACACGAAACGACAGTTTCTATGACAATCAGAAATGTCTTTGAATTAAGTGACTGTACATTTACCATGAAGCTTCTCATAACTTCATATTAACCTGAAAGGTCTACATGTGCAAATTAGTCTATTGTCAGGAATGAAACTGATTTACAATGTTAAAGGTCGGTTTGAACACAGAACCGGTCATCAGGGAACTTTAGCCTGTCCTCTGTGACCCAAGGCGAGGGCTTTGATCCTCCGCTGCTCGCTTACAGTAAGTACACTGTATGTGCATCATAATCACAAACACCAAGATACCACACAATGCAACAGCAGCTGACAGGTGAAAACGGTGACCCCGAAGTTGCCGTAATGTGGCGAGGATGATGCGACTTGTCAGTGGCCCTCTATGTGACTGCATTCTAACGTTGCCGATGCAGAAAGCACACGTTTACACCCACACACACGCACGCACACACACACACACGACAAAAACATATCCTGTAGTCAAGTATACAAATCCAGTTCGTAAACAAACAGACAGAAAAAAAAAGACTTGGACTAGTCGTCATCCGAGTGCATTGAGTCAGGGGTGTAATGTTACCATTTACATATTCAAACTTGTGTACACGGGTAAACAGTACCTATGCTTAAAAACTAGGCATGCATTAGATACTCGAGAAGTTCGCTTTGTCCTGTAATGACTCAAACACCAAGTTATGGATCCCACCTGAGTTATGGGCAGAGGGGAAGTTGGAAAAAAAGGTCTATTAGGAGTTACACAAGTTTTCAGTGGTTGCAGTTTGGGGGATTTCTGCATTTGCCCATAACAGCAGTGGCATCCATAAAAATATATCCAAGCCTACCGTCTCTTGTCCAGCTCTCATACACAGAGCTTGTTGGGTCATTCCATAAAAAACAAAAAAGAAAACAAAGAAAAAGAAAAACAACAAAAAAATAAATCAACAAAATCTTAAAAAGTTCCCACCTGGCTCCCTCAGAGTCAGCACGTTGTGTATGTACAGTAACTTCAAGATATTTACTGAAGTCATGCAGAGTTCTACCTTCAGACTATGAATATTTTCAGGCTTACATAGGCTGACATGTTTAACCCATTTCACAGAACATAACAACACCACTGTTGTTTCATAAGCCACATTCAAGCGTGTTATCACAGGAGGACTCACAACAAGAAGATCAAAATGTAAGTCACATTTCAGATGCTATAACTTATTTGGATCAGCCACATATCTCACTTTTTTTTTTGTTTTAATTTCTCCACTGAATTACTAGAAATACCAATGATATTTCTGTCACTCTACAGATCCTATCATGTTGACAGCCTAACACTGATTTGCTTTTTTCATCTCCTGAACTTTTATAACAGACAGAAATCAGTAAGGTGAAATAAAAAATGTACTTTAGGGGTCTGTAACTCAGAAAATATTCATAGTATGTGTTAAACACTAATGCTATTGTAACACTAAACTAACACTTAAACACTAATGTTATTCTACACTTAAAAGAAAAAAGCACAGGGGGCCAGGTGGGAGGCATCGACTGATTTTTATGGAATGACTCTTTTCCGGAGAGATTTCCCTGAATACAAAAATAGAAAAGAAACTGGGGAAACTCTTTAAAAAATGTACACATAAAGCAACTTGGTGTTCTCTCCTCCACAAACATCCTTTTTTAGCAAGTTGTAGGATTTTTCTTTTCTTTTTCTTTTTTTTTTAAACTTGGCAGTTTTGTTAATAAAACCAGGCTACTTTCGAACCAAACCCACACACTGCTCACTCCAACCGATGACCAGTCGTCAGGTGAGGAGGCCAGATTCGCAACGTGCAAAGTCAACTGCGGTTAACCAATAGGAAGCAACAAAACAAGCATGTGGTGTAAATGATGTTTTCTTTTTTTCCCCCTCAGGATGGGTGCAGAGCATTAACAGGAACAGCCGCCCTCAGTGGTCGGGGGCTCCTGCGGTTTGTCCAACTTGATGTCAATCACTGAAGAAGAAGATTAAGGAACCTTTGGGAACATGAAGACCTAAAGAGGAAAAGCCTGCATTACCAGTGTCCACCACTAGATGCTGCTGTTTTTTTGCATTTAGCTTTCAATCAACAATTCTTACTGAACATGTTCTTCATGAGTCAACAATAATAACAATAACAATAATAACGATTAAAAATCATAAAAAATGTTTATTTTCATTGTCCTCCAAAAAAGACAATGAAAATGTTTATTTTCATTGTCATAAATGTCAAAAACTAGAAACCTTCAGCTTTATTTTGATTTGATTTTAGATTTTGATGTGGACAATATTGTTTCAGCTTTCATTTTCAGCTTCAAGTTTGGTTTATATATATATATATATATTTTTTTTTAACTAAGATGCTTGTTCACGCCTTGTTTTAGCTTCAAGTTTTGTTTCAATTAACCTACAAATGAGGTTTGGATGCATTTTATCCAAAAATCGTTCCCCAAGACACCTAAAGAAAATTTTATGCAACACGAAGAATTACCTTTTAACCAAGCAAAAGGCAAACTATGTGACTGCGTTACTCAGTGTCAAAGAATCGGTAAAGAATTTGACTCGCTCTTGGACGGGCAGACCTGTCATGGTGTTACGGTGAACCTTGAGATTTGACAAACGTGTTTTGTTCATGAGGCTGGCATTACCCAGCTCATCGAGGAAACCTCTCGTCTATTGTTAGCAGCTGAAAATGGAAGCTGATGCACAAAGGCGTGTTAATGAGTAGCTTCTGTAAGTCAGAATGATTTTTCCCACAATGCCGGTGAGCTGTTATTGTCTATTTCCCGGTCAGTATGAGCTCCTTTGTCTTATGGAGGGAAAAGTAAACCATGACTGAGTGCTTCTGTATGATGACCTACTGATAAATGCAGCAGCAGCAGCCTCCTACTTACTAATTACTGTTCTGCTGAACATGATGCATGTGTAAGAAGGAGGCCTGAAAAACTGTGACCTATATACTCCATGCAGGTGATTTAAGAAACAATCCCAGTGTGGCTGACAGATACCAGTCCAAACTGCTCCAGGCAGCAGTTCAGGTGTGTATATTTTTATATTTAATGGTTGCATGTCATTATGTGTCACTTCAAGGACGGCGGTTAAATGCAACATATACAGGAACGTTCCCCTTTGGATTGGATCCCATCTGGAAACTGAGGCTGCCAACATCTCCAAACCAAATGAGCCCCATCAAACTGGAATATTTTAGCTGCCTGAAAAGCGTGTGTGCATGTTTCAGCAGTGGTTAATGAGGCACTGGTAAACTGTTTCCTAACCGCTCATCCAACCCAGAGTCACCAGTGAGCCTGGAACAGAGGTGGGGACACATCTGTCCCTAAAGTATACTGAAACATTTAGCTGGGATTGGTCAAAGCAGCTCCAAATATCTGTTTAACAGCTTAAAATCAGATTGAAAAATACCAGCTTTGTAGGAAATGTTCACATTACTTTCTACTTCTGTTGTACTATATATTGCTGTTAAATATAGTGCTGATGTTGTTTATATATAGGCAGTAAATACTGTCTATCATGGAGAATTTGGAAAAATAAAAGCGGTAAAATTCTGCAGCCTCCTCGATCTGGAATCAGCTGCAAATTCACCTAAATCTTAAAGAGTTGCTGTTGCTGGCGACATGGAGACAGTTACTCTAAACTTAAATCCATGAATGAAAGCTATTGTCTGTTCTACAACTTTTTTGAAGTTTTTATGGTTTTTGGTAAATTTTCACAGCCTGCTTATCCGCTAGAACAACACAGATTAAGTGGCCGAGGGAATCAAACCCGAGCCCTTGTGACCTTCTGGCACAAAGGTCGCCAGCTCAGTGAGCCACACCTGTGCTCCACACCGAGCAACAGTGACAAACAATGAAAACTGAACTGAAACCAACAAAGCCACTTTGGAAACTGGGAATAAACTCAAGTTAAAGGACAAAAAAGAAAATAAAAATAAAAACTATAATAATCCTGGTCTGATGCAATTTCTTTTTTCCTTCCTCTCTCTCTTACAAACATGGATGACCCCAGCACTCGATCTGGGTCAAGAACCTTTTTCACTCTCCCCATCTGCAGCGCCGCAGCGGTAATGAGGCGCTGTGATTAGACAGGAAGCTGTTCTCAGGAAGAGAGCAGAAGGCTGCACTGCACAGGTGACATCCAGCATAAATCAGCACGACCTGTCTGGCCCCAATTTAAAACCAGCCATTAAAGGCAACAAGGGACAAACTGTTCAAAGAAATCCACAAAGCTAAAGCTCATTCTGCTCACTCAGTATTTGATTTGATTTGTTTCATTCCCTTTTACCATTTGAGTCAGCAAATTGTTATTTATATGTCATCTCTTCTGTTCCAATTATGGATACTCAGATTAAATATTTACAAAGTTTGAGCCTGAATTAACTTTCATTTCAGTTTTCTCCAGGATATAAAAAAAGAAAAGAAGCATGTACAGGATTACCAATTAAAGCTAATGAAGGCAAGCTTTAGAAAGCCTTCCACCCCCAACAAGTTACACAGACACAAAGTTACACTAGATTGCAGTTTCACTAAGGGCTCGATTCATACACGAACAATACAAACGTCTCTGTCAGTAGAACCAATTCACTTTATAGATATGGTTAGCCAAGAAAAAAAAAAAGTAGTACTTGTGCATTTCATCTGCTGGTGTTGACTGGTCTACAGTGACTGAGCAGCCATCCATCAGGAGACTTAAGAGCACTGCATGCTTCCATCTGTCAATGAGCTTAATGGGGATGCCAATTTCCTCTCCCAGCACCTGCCCACAGTGCCAGGACTACTGCAGAACCCCACAAAGAACACAGGAGACGATGACAAACACCCACAAACATGGATGAGCTAAAGGTTGCTATCAAAGCAATCTGGGCGTGAGTGACACTTCAGCAGAGTCCCAACCGAGTACTGAGCACGTACTTTAGGATACTTTTCAGAAGTTGGACATTTCTGTATGTAAATCTATCGGGGTGGCTTTAGTTCTGGAGGTAGAGCAGGTCATCTACTAATCCGAAGATTTGTGTTTCAATTCTTGGGTGCTCCAGTCCCAAAAGCTGCTGATGTATTCATCGGAGAGTGAGCGTTAGATAGAAAGCACTCAGATGTAGAAAAAAAGTGCTCGTGTGAATAAGACATGCTGTGTCATCCTTCTAATGTCTCTGGCTTCAAACACTAAGTAAGTAAGGATTATTTGGAGCAGTGACTCATGCAAAGCACCTTTTATAAGAATCCAAACCAAAAATCTGAAGTTGGAGATGAACCACTTTAATATGAAGACAAATATCCAACTGTAATAAAAGCAGTTTCCACACGTGTATCCTGGTCTCAGCCTATCTGCGCCCTTCTCCCGGTGAGATTAATAACATTCACAATGCAATAACAGAGGAGTTGCTCTATTAAGTGACAGTGTCAGCAGAGCCACAAAGCTGCTGTCATCACCTGTCATCCATCACCGCACCACCTCACTCCGCTCGCACCCTACATCCATAATGCTTCATTAAAACAGGAAACATGGCTGCAATAAAGAAATGATCCAAGGACCTCAGAGTGCTGTTAGCTTACCGAATCTATTAGATAGTTTATAACACCAGAACAACTCTTAGTAAAAACTAAACTGGGTTCGACTAGCGAGGCCTAAGAGACACCAAATGCAAACCTCTGAGGCATTTCCTGTTTTATCATCTTTTTTGACCATATTTTATATAATAAACATACTTTTCTAGGAAGCTACATCCATCTTTTATATAAAGTCATAGTGTGTTTTCCAAAGTACAGCTTTTACTAAGCAGCTCCCTGTGCAGCATAAACTCATTATAAAAGTGTTTACTGTGGTCCCAGAGCGAAGGTGCTGCAGGCCTGATTCTTTTTGAATTCACGACTTGCCCTCTGCTGGCCATTGAAAAGAGTGCAGTTCTGCAGGATTTCTGCACTGGCCTCACCATTCATCCCATGACAACCAGTCAAGACAACAATACCAGGGCTCTTATTATGAAAGTTCAGTTTCTACTGCTGTTAGCTAGCATAGCAGACATGACGGTAAATCCTCTGGACATTTGTTTGGGGACCAGGAAATAATTTCCAGATAAATCTCATATAACACATCATAAAATGTTTGTTGACTCTGTTGACGAATTTAGGTTTAAAAAGCATTTTCCACCACAGGTTACGCTTCTCATACGGTTGCTACGGTTACTTTTACCTCCACAGGATGACAAACTTACAGTAGAAATATTTTCAGTACGTGTGGTATTATTTCTTATTTATTTGAAGAAGAACGGGCACATCATGGCCACTACCAGCACAAACGTAATGAAATTCTCTGAGCAATGCTGCATGAACATATTCACAGACTGCTCACTTAGTTGCCTATGACAACATTAGCAGCAGAAACTGTGAATGCAGCTCAGCTTTAGGCATAATTAAAAGAATGTTTCCTTCGCTCTGTCTGCTGGGTGCCAGGTCGTGTTTACCTCTGCTAGCAGTTTTAGGACACAGAATGGGTTATATTATGATTCACACATTTTCAAGCCTATCTAAAACAAACATCAGGTGGCTGTATGTACACTTTAATGCTGCAATCACTCCTCCTCATCATAGTTTAAGAAATTTAGAAAGAAGTGAGCTCGTTAGATCTCTGCAGTGCATCCCTGCATGAAGATGGCAGTGTGACGTTACAGCAGCCCCCACATAGCACACCTGAATATCTCTGACACTCCTGCTTCGCCAGTGCTTCACCACAGTATTATTCAATCCTACTTTCTGTCCTGATATACAGTGTGACTTGAGAGATCATAAATATACAGACAAGTTTGTGCCTTTCTAAGCTGTTCCATAATTTAAACATGTCATAGATGGACACGAAATATGTTCTAGACAAATTTTAAGAATAATCAAAGAAGACTCAGATAGAGATTCGCCATTAAAGATGAGGGGAACATGGAAATGTTCACATAATCAACAGAGAAAGCAGATGGTGTGATGAGTAAAGGAGGCCATCCATGTCCAACTGGAACGGCCATCTATGAATAGATGTGGTGGCCTATGACACCAACTAGCAGCCACATATATATAACGCAGTCCTGAAATCCCTTCCCAAGCTCCGCTCCCACCTCAACCGGGGTGACCTTAGTATCTCACATCATGGTAAGGTGGGGCAACAAGTCACAACCACGTGATGTCAGGCCTGCCTCCAAAGTGACAGCTCCAGTAAATTAAATTCCTTCGACTCCCCGTCAGCTTTTAGAACTGCAGACGTATTTCAGATGAGAAATATCTTCAAGAATCTAAAACTCAAATACTTGAGGCTTTTTCTGCTTGATATCACCATCCTTATTCTGAAGATCAAAAAAGATCAGACGTGCATCCCACTTTGCAACCCACAATCCCCCCACCATCGCCTCTCAGGCTGCATCTGACATAATTAAAGTCATATGTGTTGTCACAGATGCTCGTTCTACTTTGTGTTGGGATTTACGCACATGGAAGGAACAGGAGGTCCCAGAACAAAGGCCATGATGGGAAATTTAAATGACTTTACAAAGCCTGAAAAAGCAACGGGATCTGAAGACTTTAGGTTGAAAACTGCTAGTTTTTCTTGACCCGAAAAATCTATGATAGAAAGAGAAATGTGGGAAATAGTCTACCTCACTGTTGAGTATAAAAATGTAATCAGATAAAGTAACAACTGTAAAAATGAAAGCAGAAACCCAGACTGCCTGAGGGTTATTGATGAAAATTACAGCCAAATCTGTCTCACTGGCTTCATCTGTCTCCTTTAACATCAGATACAAAAACATGCAGTGAATTTTCACAGAAAGCAGAATGCTGAAAATCATCCTTACATGAAATCAGCAGCACTTACAGCTCATAAATAACATGGTAACAATGGGGTAATCATTAAATAATAAAAAGGCAATAAGTACCACGTAGTATCAAAGTAATAAATACCAAATAACCCAGTGACAGCTTGACATTAAAAGCGATTATATGTAATTCACAAAATTAGGAACTAAAGGACAGCTTTGCCCCCATCTCTAAGGGACAAAACATCATCTATATCTGCCAATTTATTCTTTCGGCCACTACTGACCGTTTAGACCTCTCTCAGTCAGTAAATAGCAGCTTCACTTTAACGCTCTGCTCTGTGAAATGGTGACATCTTACAAGTATCTAGGGATCATTATAGATCAGAATTTGTCATTTAAAACTTACATTCAAAGGCTTGTGTCTAGTTAAAACTAAAACTAAGTTACTTTTTTAGAAATCAATCCTGTTTCTCCCTCCAAGTGAGAAAACACTTGATTCATGCAACTTTTTGACTTTTATTGGATGAAGGTGACCTGCTTTTTATGAATGCACCTGGCCAATACCTAAAGAGGTTGGATGCTGTCTGCCATTGTGCTTTATGTTTTATTACTGGCTATGGAAATCGTGTACATCATTGTTCTTTGTATGCTGCTGCTAAATGTCAATCTTTGCATATTTGCAGATTTTCCCATTGGTTGGTCTTTATCTATCAATCTCCTTGGGCTGGTTCCCTCTTATTTATCTGTTTATATGTGTAAAAGCCACAACCAACACAGCCTTTGTTCTCACAATATCATACAATTGATTGGCAAAATTAGGGAAAAGAGCTTTTAAGGGCTTCACCAACTGAACAAGACCCCAGTATACTTTGGCTCCTCCACTTGGGGAAGCAACTTAACTCATCCTCAATCCAGAGTGACTACTCCACCCTTTTCAATCACGACCTTAGACGTGGCGGTGCTGATTCTCATCCCAGCTGCTTCACACTTAACAGCAAACTGGCCCAGTGTGAGTTAGAGGTCACCGCTCGGTGAAGCCAGGGGCGAGGCAAGACCACTGATTCCAGCATCCTCCACCGAATGGCTCAAGAACAGAAGGGCAGCTCTGACCCAGTTCAGTGCCCACTGGGGCCTCGCTACGGTTGAAGGCATGCAGGAATCTCCAGACGACACCTCAAGGGACGCAATGAAATCCTTTCTCCAAGGCAAAAGCCCCGTAGACTGGTTAGGCAAACTCTCAAAGACACTCAAGTATTTCAAGAGGTTAAAGCTCTGGTCCAGTTTTGCTTGACTAGATGAAAACTGCACTCCTTAATTTGAGGTTTACTTAACAGACAAACTCTACTCTCCAGCACCCAGGCTTAGACCATCCCAGGCAGGCTGATTTTCAAAGTAATAATGTGGTGATTAAATGTTAATGCTGTGACTTCTTACTTGTAAACACTTGTTTTCTGTAGAATAATTATAAATAAATTAATAAATTAGCCGTTTGTGTTTTATTTCATAGTAATAGTAGATTACTCTTTCAAACAAGTTTATTATTCATTAGTCTGGAGAAGTATCTGTGATGCAGTAATCACTCTGTGAAAATTCATGTGTTTTGCAGCATTCACGGTCCTCCGACTTCCTGAATAAAAAGCGTACTGTGCCAGGGTTTAATGCTTCAGGTCCCGACAAACCGTCCACAGGTGAAGCTGTGACATGCTCGGCTGGCAGCAGCAGATATGAGGTGTCAGTCAGGACAGGTGTATGCAGCTGATGGCTGAGACTCCTGTCACTGTTTAAATGAGCAAACCTGAGACACTGCAGACAAAACCGCAGGTACTGAGTGTCTGACTGACCGCCCCCTCCTTTGCCTGTCAGGCACCAGCGATGAAACAAAAAACAAAAACCTGAGAGTGTCGCGCTGAAAACACTTTAATTAGACGGGTGGCAGTCGTCTATTAAATAGAGTTCACCACCTGTGCGGTGACTGATGGCATGAAAACAGAATGTTTCCTCTTTTCTCAGTTTTTCGCGATATTACTTTTTTTTTAGGAGGGTTTAAAATGTATTTGAATTCAATTACAAAAAGAAGCTGAATAGCTAATACAATTAATTCCAAATTCTTGGAAATTTATTATTTAAAACAACAGACTGAGTCTAATTAAAGATTTAATCATGCTTATAAAGGCTATATTAGTGCAAATAATAAAGGGATATCTAATCTACTATCAGACAATCTCTACATAACTATATTAAGGCGGGCGAAATAATTTAATATATGGGGGAAAAAAAAAAAAAAAAAAAAAAAAAAGAAGACTGGCTAACTATATGAAGGTCTACCACCTCAAGCTCAGGCCTGTGCAGAAACACAATGTGATCCTTGTTTTAGGACTGTAATGTGATTTTGTAATGGATGTAAGTTTATCAAGGTTATGAACCCACAGAACAATTTCATTTTAGTGCTACTTCAATTAGAAATGTGTTAACTAGAATCAAAAAGGTAGCTGTTTGTTACAAATGTGACTGATAGTAAAAACAAAACAAAAAAACAAAACCCTAAAACTAAAATACCTAATTTAAATAAAAGATTTACTAATACTGGGAAAAAAAGAGATTTCATATCAAAGAGAAAGAACCAGTAGAACAAATATCTGTATTTGAATGAACATTAGATTAATCTGAAAACAGGGGATTGTATAAAAATGGATATAATTTAACGCAAATTTTTAGTTAAATCTCATGAATAAAAGCTGAATGTCTGCACTTCAAACACATCTTCTTTGATTCAAAATCCACTGTGATCATATGCAGACGCAAAATCACAAAGTCATACGTCATTGACGAATTACTTACTGACCGAACTCGTGTGTGTCTGCAGTCTGCTGTCAGCCAAAATGTTAACAAGGACACTTTCGACTGTTCAAAACCTACAAGTGACTCAACAGTGTTTTATACTGTCTGTATTTTCCCTTATTTTTAACTGCACCTGCTGGGATAGTGGGGGCAAAGCACACAATGACCAAATAACAAAAACACAGTTCGAGTGACGCGACCGGTAAAGGGTGGGTGGTACAGTGACATTAGATGCTGGTGTGTAAGAGAAGAACCATGCAAACCAACAATAATGTGCCTGCTGCTTAAAGGATACTCCCTTCTTTGCTGGTTTCTTGCATGCTTTCCATCCCTGGAAGGGCAGCAGCTACACGCCGAAACAGCTGAAAAACAAGAGCAGAATAAAGACAGGGTCACACAACACTTAGCGTCTAATCTAATCCCAATACATTTGCTGATTAGCTCAGGTGGTGGCATATTAGGGTAAAAAAATAAAAGTAAATACAAAATAAAGCATATTAATTGTTATTACATTTAAAAGTCACACAAAAAAGTCAGCTGACAGTGATGGGCCAGGTTGGAGGATTCTTCATCGAATTACTCTAAAGTCACAAATTTGCAAATGATAACACCATTTTAAAATGACCCCAAATATCTTGTCGGCAATCTGTGACAAGTTACATCCTGATAACAAATCATGTTTATAGACCAGTATAGGTAATAAAAATAAATGCCTTCTGCTGTAAGGCTGGCACAGCCCAGCAGCTTGTAAAAGGCAGGACTGTGACCTTTATTCGGCAGGTCTCACAGTGCTCTGTTCAGCGGTGCCATTTCACTGTTAGTGCCCAGAAATAAGGTGAAGAATAGCCTCCTCTGTCTCCGCTGCTGTGTGGCGAGCGAGGCGCCCGCCAGGAACACCATTCACTGACAGACACAGTGCAGCTTCCCTTCATCTCACTGCTTATTAACTTCACAGACAGTCATTGTTTCCAACAAAGATCATCTGTTCAGGAACAGAAACACCTTTGATGAACCAGGCTATGCTGCTCTTTGTATCTGAAACCCCTAAATCTTTTCTAAACATTAGTGTTAGTAAGTAAATGTCATTTAGAGAATGAATGCAGAGCTTTGCCTTGGTAGCAGCAGCAGGGCCGAGTTTTTGACCAACAGTGCTAACAAATGAATTTTTCGATAAAAAACAACTTTATTGCACCATTCTCTGTTTTGGATGTGAACACACTGCAGCTAAAATAAACATGGAGGGTATAAATATGGAGGAAGAAACACTCCATCCTCATCAAGTGAATTTTGCTATGATTCAGCCACGGTATTACAGGAATAGAGGCATATTCCAGTTCGGTTTTCCAGTTAGCTTCACCTAAGCTAACTGGAATCCCTAACTGCATCTCTGGATCATGTTTGTGCTGTTGTTCATGTGTTAATCGATCAGAATTAACTATTTAAAAGTCACACTGCCAGCTCACCACTTACAGTATTTTAATGAAGAAATAAATAAAAAGAAAAACATGACAAATGTCTGTGGTTTCACACATGAGCGAAGGGAACAGGCACAGCAGGTCATAAGCCTGGTAACAAATAATAATTATATTAAATAACTTGGCTTGCTGTGCGGGTAATTGTACTGAACAGACTGTCCAAGAAGTGGGAGCTTCACCTTTGATGAGTGAAATTCTGGGATTTTATTTGGATGTTGCTGAGCACTAATTAGCAGGTATCTGTGTCTGTGTGACGCTCCCATACAATCTTAATAACAAGCTTAATAACCAAGCCAGCAAACTTTAGCATACAACTCAGCACTCCACCCTAAATAATATGGTCACTGCTGTCTCCAAAAAGCCAACATGCCAGTGGCCAAAATGCTCCCACATGCAGCTACAGATGTGGAACGATGAGGCCTGAGATGCTATTTAAGGATCCAGGATTCAACATACTGAAACCTGAAGACTGCCAGCAAGGCACGTTGAATGCAAATCACGTATTAAGAAAGAAATCGGCCGTGAAACCGTTTTATGAGACAGGAAGTCTCTTCTGCGTGTTTATCAGACCTCAGGGACGCACACAGTGAATGTAAACAAAAATCTCCACGGGGCACCTTTAAGCTGCCCTCCATCCAGGCAGCTTTTCAGTGACTGCACCTGTCACTCACAGGGAGAAATGGCAAACGCTCAACACAAGGCTCTCTCTGAACCCACTCACCTGTTTGACGTTGTAACCTGTCTTGGCACTGGTCTCTATGAACATGACGCTCAGCTCTTTAGCCCTCTGTTCGCCTTCCTCGATTGTGATTTGCCTGTAAATGAAGAGTCGTTTCAATCAAAACACTGCAGATTGGAGATAATAATACACTGTTTATCTGGACACAAAGCCAAGGCTAATTTTGTCATATTAACATTCATCAAAGACAAATGGATGCTGCAGAGAGACTCACTGTGAAGTGCACGATTAGCAGCTTATTATTTTAGGCTGTGAGGATACACCAGGCTTGGCTAATGTGCTGAAAGTGATTAATTACTTTGTCCTGGGAGAAATTAATAACAGCCAATTTGCATTACATTTTAATGAATCTGGCAGCGATTGTTTGGCTCTCGCTGTGAAACTGAGACTGTGTCAGGTGTCCATTAACACAAACAGAGAGATCAGCTCAATCCTGCTGACTCCACAGCCTCAACAGCCAGCAGGTTCGTTAAGACAAGCGGCTTAAATCGGCCCCGGAAAACTAGACCAGTCTGTCCTCACAGAAAGCATTGTTAGGTGTTTACTCCGTTAAAAACATCCGACTGATCTCTTCAAAGCTTCAAACACGGCAGCCTCATATTTTACCGCTTCCTGCCTCTTTCAGTAACGTCACGTTTGCGCAGAAGAAAGAGATTCGGGGATAGAAATAGAAGTTCCTGCAGCGAGAACAGAAAACAGTGCACTAGAGACGTATTTACATAATAACACCACCTGACAGAGTTGCACCAGAGCTTCTGGGACTATTTCTGGATGCATTTGTCTGACTTCCAACTTAAACAACATGGTGCCTTAGTCATCATCAGACAAGCAGTTGGAAAGAAAAGTGCGTGATGGATGTGGGATATGTGGCATCCTAGCAACGCTCACGCACACTTGAAAAGCACTACAGTTGTAATCGAAATGACTGACATCAGCTCTCTCTCGCGGCACAGATTATCCCAACAATAATGTCACTCACAGTAATCAAATCCCTTCACAAAAGCACTGATTTGATCATTATTCCCTTTTCATTAAAATACACTTTACCAGACCAGGTGATTCTTTTTTTTATATGTATAGACTTTTGGATTTTAGGTTTAACAGTGAAGCTGGGAGAAAAACATGCACCAAACAGCCTCAGGGTGGATAAGACATTAGCAAGGCTAATGAATAAGTGATGGTTTTGTGGATTTTTTTTATGGCTTTCTGCTTGTAGTTTGAGTCAAATTGACCAATCACATTTGTGCAGGATTTCGAAGAGCACGCAGGGAACCAGTGCCCGTATTGGATAAGCAGTTTTGGTGACAACTGGTTGAATGAGGCTGAACTTTTCAGCTCAGTTCTGACATCAAGGGTCAGCAGGGCGTGGCTGTGGCTTAGAAGGTAGATCAGGTCGCAAGATTGGAGATTTGATCCCTAGCTCCTCTTGTCTGCATGTCAAGACATGGTTGGGGGTAACATGTAGGATCAAAAACATAGAAGAAAAAAAAGGGACTAAAACAATGTGGTGAGCTGCTTCCTGTCTTCACATCAGGCCTCGCATAGCTGAGGCTGCCTGGTGTATGATGCACACTAGATTTCTCTGATACAGAGCTCCTGGGGATGTACGGTACCTAAACTCTGCATACTTTATCTCCCCTAAGCACTAAGCACTGTGAAAAGCTCCACCACACATGAATAAACAAAGCAACAAACACAAAGAGAGCCCGGCTCAGAGAGGTGCTCCTCCTGATAATCATTTCATCACACCACAGCACATCACCACACATGAATCTCTGTTTCTCCTCAATAAATCTACAAAAATTTAACAATGACTTATTTTAAAATCGTTGTAAAGGTAAAAAAAAGAAAAAAAAAGGGGGGGGTTTTGCAATCAGAGGAGTCGCCCCCTGCTGGCCTAAAAAGAATGCAGGCTCAAGGCTTGCATTCACATGTAGTCCAAAATATGTCTCCACCAAACTAATATTGATGCTTTTCTTATGCCTACATGGACGCTGTAGTCAACTAGAAACTAAAGCTGTTTGTGGAAAAATGATTTTAGTTAACTGAAAGGAAAAAAAAAAGTCATCTAACAAAAATGATGTGCACATATTACATAGGAAAATGTTTAAGATTCAGTGTTAGTCACAAATTGCCTGAAGAGGCTGAGAACAGTCTGTACAGCTGTCAGTGAATTTCCTGAACAAAAAGCTGTTTGCATTGTAATATATTGTATAATGGTAACAATTATGGAGTATCATCTGTTGCAAGTCCAAGCACATAAGCAAGAGATAGGACACTATGTAGTATTGTTTCATTAAGATTTTGCTGGTTGAAACTGGAGCACTAAAAACTTGCAGGGTTTCAGATTTCCTGCACTGATTTCAACAAACTGCTGTCAGGCTTGGAACTACTGATTTACCTAAGCACGCTGGAAGAGGATGGTGAGGTGATGTTAATGCACTGAACAGCCTTTACTTCTATACCACGGAACATTTACTGGAAGGCTTTAACGTCCACACTGCATTAAAGGAAAAACTAAACTGCACCGAAGCTAAATTATCATCAAATTAAAGACAAAAAGGTTCAGTGAGTTTAAGCACTTTAGCTGGAGGCACACATTTCTAAAATAGCTTGAAGCTTATTAAACATATAAAGACATCACCTGAAATTCCACCAGCTGAAGATGATAAATATACTTCTTACACTGCGTGGGATAATTTATGTGTGTGTATACACCACTGCAGACCTGCAGCTCCCACGCAGTCTCAGTGTAACCTCAAACCAGAGCTTTTTTACTTCGCCTGTTGTTTTTGTGGCCATGAACCTTTATTGACAGGTCCAGCGAGACACATTCTGAAAGTTGCAATCAGCAGCATTTTTTCCTGCTTCCTCTTCACAGTTACTGACAGGCTGAGAGTTCAGACACAAACATGCCAAAGGGAATTTCTCTCTAAGGCCGTCAAAGTTGCTGCTACTGCATGCTAAAATAAAGCTGGCCATAACATTTAAATTACTTGATTGTGGAGGAAAACCCAACATTCAGTAAAGTTTTGTATTTCACAAATGGAGAAAGAAAGATAAAGACTTCCTGAGTATATTTACAATTAATCAGTAAATCAGGGGATCGGTTTTAGTTCTCGCACCCATGTTTACAGACAGAAACCTACTCTTACGTTTCATTCGTTACCACGCTCAAAGTCAACCTTCCAGTTAGCAAGCGGTCATTTATAACCATTTATAACCAAAGTTCTGTTACTTTTCATAGCCTTTTGTTTCCCCACAGGAACTGACCCTTCCAGTGGTGTGGCGGGAACAATGGGAAGCACTGTGAGGTCATTTATCATTCAGTCAAACTGGCTGTGGTTCATACAATCATGGGAAAAAAAGAAAGTTCATCCTCTGTCAGTTCAAAGGTTTTACACGTCAGGACACAATAAAGAATTAGCCGGTCCCTATCAGGTCTTAGAATTAATGTAAAAGTAATGCAACAACAAATGACACACGTGCCTTTCTCTTATTTTGTATACATGTATGTACATATATATATTTGCTATTTATTCCTACTGTCTACTTTTTATATTGTATTCCGGCACAGCTGGTGTGGAGCAATTACAATTTCTTTGCACATGTACAATGACAATAAAGGGCTATTCTATTCTATTCTATTCTACATTATTTATTTAACAAAAACTAAACCAAAATACAGAAGCAGTGTGTAGAAAAACCTACTACAGCATGTAGTTCCCTGAGTCATGTAGACTCAGGGAACTAATACTAGGAAACTTAAACTACGAAAACAAACCAGGAATTACGAACTAGAATTTGGTTAGGAACACAGAGGGAATAACAGACAGCATGAGACACAGGAGGAGAGCACAACTGGGAGTAATCAGACCTAACAAGACAAAGACTGTCAAAGTAAAACAGGACGTATAACACAGAGACGCGGACTTGACACTGAGACAGAAGCATGAACTCTGGAACAGGAAAAAAAGCACAGAGACACTGGGAAGATACACTGACTGAAATTAGAAGCTAGAACAACAAAATATAACCTCAAGAGAACTATAACCACGAATAACAAATAATCAAGAAATATAGATTAAATACAAAATACTGGGTCACACCAAGGACATACCAAGGACACACCATGACATTCTCTTGGAGATTTGTTGCTGTGCTTGGGATCATTGTCCTGTTAATTACCCAGTCTGCCTCACATTTGACTCTAGAATAATTAATTAATATTTATTTGTATGAGGTGAACATGCTAACCGAGGCCCTTATAGTCTGAGTTCTAGCTCTTTCATTTTTCCCAGTTTCTTAGAGCATAGTGTTAACACACACACCTGAAATCTCCAGACTAGCAAACCACCAAAACTTCAGCTTGGCAGATAACTCATGGGTAAAAATTTTACTAAGGTATAAGGTATGCCCACATTGTAATGTCACAGTTTGCTGGATGTACTTCTTGGACTTCCTCACAACAAATGTTTTTATGTAAACAAAAACAAAATTTAAAAAAACTGTATAATAATATCATCAATTTGGTCATTTTAACTGATATAACAGCTTGGCTGCACTAGGCTTTGTCTCCGTCTGTATTTCAACACATACTCTGCATAAATAAATAACATGTAGTGGGTAAGTTAAATGTTTTGCACTTCTAAATGGTTTCAGAAAAAAAGGCGGAGAAAAAGGCAGTAACTTTCTAATAGACTTGCTGGTCATTTTCATTCAATTTTCACATCACATAGTTTTTACCATCTGAAATTGATCTCCAGCCTGCATTTTATACACATCAACACATTTTTGCACCAGGACAAAAGTAATTTTATGGTTCAATTCTCTCTTTATTTTCTCCTGTCCACTAACGTATATTTCTGCTCCATGTCCTCTCACGTCTACCCTGTTTTTTTTTTCTCAGCCGGCCCACTTGAAATCAATCTCAGGTTTATTAAACACTGCGTCTCATCAGCAGTTTCTCACCTACTCTTTCCTCCACAGACACAGTCTGCAGCTTCATATAGAATATGAATAAAAATGAATTCCCTCATGCACACAGCTCATGATGCTCAAGTGTCCCTACAGACGAAAACACTAAAGCAAGCAATAATTTTCCCTCTTTGAAGCAGGCTGTCTGACAGGAAGTCCTCCAAATACAGGAGCCCCCCCCATAATCACTATAATAATAATACTAATAATAATAGTAATAAGCATAGCCAGTTTATTTCTCATTGGGGTGGCGTAAATATTTATATAAGATTTTTCAGTCCAACATCTAACATCAGCTGGCTGCAACATACTGATGACCTCCTCAGGTATGCCCCGCCTTTCATCCTACAACAGCTGCAGTTACAAAGCCATGGCATGAAGGCGTCACAACCCGCATGGTTTATTGACTTTGAAACTGATGGAGCAGCAGCTGCAATGGGCCTATGCAGAGGAGCAGCCACACTCCTGTGTGGAAAGATCAACCCTGACTGTCATATTCACCGCATCAATCTCAGGTCAGAATCTGTGATCCGTGCTACTGTAGAACACATCGCAGACTGATTCATTTTCACATTTCTGACTCTTAAACTCCAAAAGACTGTGGCTGATCTCAGTAAACAAACAGGGTCACCTCCTCTCCTGTTGGAAGGTTTCCAAATGTGGGCGTTCCAGGAAACCCTCCACAGAAAAACAGAGCTAATCCATCATCAAAGCAGGCTGCTTTCTTGGGAATTTGCGGTAGCACGTTATTTACTTTTTCTTTACAATGTTGTCGGTTCTAGCCAAATCTGACCAAATGATGGTAAATCCTCTGATAAAAATGCTTATTCTCTTTTATCAGAGGATACACCGGATCATCCTTTATAATTCAACATTCATGAACACCAATGTAACTGACAAGATCTAAATCTTAACTTTTGCATCAAACTTGCTTGATTTCAGTTTTGGTGTCCACATAGATTTAGAAGTCTCTCCAACAAAGATCTGTTCATTAGATCAGAGCGACATACCTCTTGTCTGCCAAGTCTGTTTTATTGCCAACAAGCATGATTATGACATCACTGCCTCGCTCCGTTCTCACATCATCGATCCATTTTGATGTCTGCTGGAAAGAATTGACATCTGTTGAAAAAATTAAAATATAAAAAAAAAACTGTTAAAAAACTAACATCAGACTCAAATGACTGACATTTGATTTGATTTTTAAACATGCGTGGTAGTGCCAACACAGGTGCCCCACAGGAAAATCTATTTGTATAATAAAAAGGATTGTAATAAATTATAAGGCTGTGTGTCCCATTTTACGAAAATGTATGACATTTTATGATGTTGTTTATCATAAAATAATGCAAAAAATGTTCTAGGCAAAATTCGAGTCACTATCAGACTGTGTAAAGATTTTTCTTTTTAATCCACAAGACAAAATATGATATCAGATTATTTTCAAATTTTGCGGTAGACAATGTATTTCTATTGAATGGGTGACAAAAACACGAAAACGTAATTCACTTTTGGTTTTCAGGTTTGATAACGAAAACCTAATAAATGATGATTTTCGCACAAATTTTTCATGTTTTTCTTGGAAATTCACTGTTTTTTTTCTAAAATATTTCTCATAGATTTGTTTTTTTTCTCCCAGTGTGACATTTTTTCAGCAAAGTTATACTAGTTTCTCCATGTAATTATTGATTACTTAATAATTATCATTAGTCAATCATTTCTATTAAATTTGCCACTGTTTTCATATAAATTTATCATTTCAGTCTTGAATTTATTTATTTTTCTCCTTTTTGGTTGGACTTTTGTTGTTTTTTTTCCATCAGTGTTGGAAAATATGTAATTTTGTAATTTCACTGTGAAAAACAGTAGTAACAGTTAGAACCTCACTGATAATCTTGCATTAATAAAGAAGATTTACAGTTTTAAAAATGACTCCCGGTCAAAAAATATTAGCTGGTAGAGGGCGTATTGAAGTGCACATGAATATGGTTAGTACTGTATATGGAAATATACAATAAATCAACATACAACACAGCTACTTCCGGCCCTGGAACATGTTAAGGTTGCTAATAAATTCCTTTGACCTTGTCGGGTTGAATGAGTATGCATGCTGGCCAGCATGTAGATAAAGGGTCATGTTGTATTCTTGGACTGGGAATTTGATGAGACAAGACTCCATGTTTTTTTCAAGGTTAAAGAGAACATGGGTTAAGGAGGAGTGGATAGTGTTTTTTAATAAAGCGGGGTTAAAATTAATTTCCTACATGCTGAGTGTCTCAATTGTTTTCTCTTTTGGACAGAAAACATGATCCAGATAAAGCTACACAGTACAAAGAGAAGCAAAACCAGAAAGAAATATGTTGTGGAGAAGCAGAAAAATGGTTGTTGTTAAGGGTGGAAAGATAAATCGGAACGTGAAATGAAATCTAAGTGACAAAAATTTTGCTCCTATTTGTTTCAATCACTTTTGATGGGAAATATCGAGATGAAACGTGATATTTGTAGAATCTGATTGTGGAAATCCAACTGTTTTACAAAATAAGATACAAAATGTGAAGTAGGAATGACTTCAGCAGGTGTAGCTCAGGGTCCTCCAGCCAAAGCATCCGATGGCCTTTATGCAAGTTTAGAGCAGCTCATTCTTCTGTGAGCAGTACACAGAATAATTAAAATAGGACAACACAAACAATGAACTTTACTCTTCAATAAGATTTCACAGAGTCAGGTCTTAACCACCTGTTTTGCTTCTCGGGTCGATATGAGGTCACTTTTTAATGCTGCCGTTTTCAATTGAAGTTAAACATCTGGCTGGTTAGTGTTAATAAAGTGCAGCTTCAAATAAACTCTGCTTGGACTTACAAACAATTCCGTCTTCAGGAAAAACACCTGTTAGCCTTGAGTAACGTTATCTTTACCTCACCTGTTCTTTGTTGCGATCTCTAAACCAATCTCTAATATAATGGAGAACTTCCGTGGACTTCCTGTTTCAAAGGGAGTGCCGGCAAGCTACTCCAGAAGGGGCTTTCTGAAGCTTTTTGATCAAAGTAGTTAAGACACTAGATACGGTTCACTTTTATTTATTTTAATTGGAGTAAAATACCTTAATGACATCACAGCCTCATGAGCCACTTTAGAAAGTGAGAAACAGCAGAGATTTTATAGTATCAGCCTCTAGATAGCATCAACCACCACAAAGAGCTTCTTCTTCTACACACCTGGACATTTCTGATGGACTTTGACAACGCTCCTAACGTCTGTTGGAGTTATTGTTTGGAAACAGGCACTATTAAGGGAGCCTACCCTGTCATAAATCCTTAAAGGCCCAATCAGCATGCATTAGTTCAAAGTTTTATGAGCACTTTATGAGCAAATTTAAGCTCCCTGTAAGAACAATTAAAGGACATAAGCCTCAACATGTTATCTGCCCACTAACCATTACCCAGCATGCCTTTTAGCAGAGTAACTGCGGCATTATTAGTGTTAATAATTAATAAACATAGACAGGCTATTGTGTGCCATGTTGTGAAAAGAGCTACCTGTACAGAATTAATGCATCATATGATTAGAGCTGTGAGTATGAAGGGTGCACAGTTAATATAGGGCCCCTCTCAATACTCTGCAGCTCTTCTGCCTGCAGATAATAAAACACATTTAACCCTCTGAAAAGCCACAGTGGGTGTTTTGTCTGACTCTGCTGTCAGTAAAGGGAAAAAAGCAAATATTGGAACAGTTTATCAAGAGTTCACCATCTCAAATTTTAATAACTAATATATCTTTGTTGCTCTATGCACCTGTTTTCCTTTCTCACTGTGTTTTTTCCAGTTTGCCAAAAGACAGCTACATGGGAATAAATGATGCCGCCAAGTACACCAGCGACGCTAAACGGAACAAGACCTGTTGACCTGGAGGAGACACTAAGGAGATGACGGGGCTGCAGAGCTGGAGCTAAGAAGAGGAAACATAAACGGTTCCAGCGTCATATGGGGAAGGAGAGATCCTCAGGCAACAAGACTGATGAGCTCAGAGTGCTGATTAAGACACATGGGTGCAGTGTGATGCGCTTCATGGAAACATGGCTAACACACACACTTCCTGGACGACAATGCAGCAGTACTGGGCTTCAGAACGGTTACTGTTGGTGCTGTTTACATTCAATCAGCTGAAGCAGAGGTAGCATGTGACCTATCGAGGGATTACGTTTGTAAATGTGCAGTTTGGCTAAGATCATGCCTGTCTGTTTACATCTTCGAGGTTTACACTTATCTCCATCACTCTCTTTACCATCCCTTTTAATAAATACATTCAAAATACAGTATCCCGGTACCCTTTGCACAGCCTTTTGCATGCTTAACATTAAAACTGTGACATATCAATAAAAAAGAAGCAGCAATTGCACTGACTTGTGATGTCGTAGACCACCACGGCCACGGTGGAGTCCCGTATATAGCTGGGGATGAGGCTCCTGAAGCGCTCTTGTCCTGCTGTGTCCCAGAGTTGCAACCTCACCTGGGGTTCAGAGAGTGAAAGCTGAGGAGGCTGAGATCATTCAGATAGTCAGAGAGCCTGAAAACAGTAAGCTCCCCCCACACACGCAAACATTCATTATTTATACAAGCAGACCTTTCATTTCCAAGATCGTACAGCTGTATGATAGATTTTCTGAGATCAGCAGACACATTTAAACTAGCAGGACTACATGCAGTCAGACAGGTCGTTGTTCCACAGCTGAACACAATCACAGTTCACACAGTTTCTGTCTGAGGGAGACTAACATTTAACATCTCTCTCGTGACATGATACAGCTGTAACTTACCGTTCGATCTTCCAAGTACATGGTTTTCGACAGGAAGTCGATTCCAATTGTGGCCTGGTTTAGGGAAAGAAGATAGCCACGAATCAACATCACTCCAAATATTCAGAAAAGCAAACAGCGAGGAAGTGAATCAGCCACATTAAAGATGCAAAAGGTGAAGAAGGGGACAGACTCTTCATGCAGGCATGATCACATCACCCTCATGTAGGGGATGATCAATATCCACACAACATGGTGAATGTTCAGTTTTATCGCACTGCTGATTCAATTCTAACTACTTACAAGTTTCTAATGTCTAGTGATTCATCATCAAATACAGACACTTGCAGAAGGTCACGGTGTGTCAGCATCACCCTGCAAATGTTCACTTAAATAATAAGAACAGCTGCGTTATTTTACTCTCTGATCGGTTGTTTTAATCACAGCTCTCATCATACATTTACACAGTAACAGCAATCTAATCATTTCCTTATTGTGTCATAAGGCAGATGGCACTGTGTTCCCTCTTCAAAGGATGTTTACTCTCCGCAGCCAAGCCCACAGCTTTCTGCTTTGCTGCCTGCCATGATATCATCAGGTGCTTTGGCTCAGACAAACTGCATCCAAGAAGTCAATATTAAACTGCAGACCTGAGGTTGGTTCTTTTAGTGGATTCAATGGGCTGAAAAATGAACTTTCACATTGAAAATTATGAGCAGGGCTTCGTTTAAAGATATGCAATTAAGTTTGTGAAAAACATTAATTTTAGTAAGGCATTCATCTGGGAAAAACTATCTAACTGACGCCATCAAATCTGCTCATTTTTATGTAGAATCACTTTAGGATATTTATTGAAGTCAGGCAGAATTTTATCTTTCTATCTGTCAGAAGTTACAGATCCTGAAAGGGCAGAAGCTTGGTCGTGCTTTTTAACACACAGCATTTTTTCCATTATTCTTGAGCGCTCATAGCTTCATAAGTATAGCAGACATCTACATGAAATGTTCAGGGCTGAAAAACGGACTTGATCTCTTTTGGAAACTGCAACCAAATGAATTTTAAATCTCACCCCAATTGTCAAAATGTCTTTTTTCCTTCAGAAAGATTTGAGCATCAGTACCACAGGATATCTCATAGTTTGATTAAGTCTGTGCTCTATGTAGAAGTAAATCATAGTAGCAGGATAATCTATGGATTGGATGTATAGCTTTCCAGTGCTGTGATAAGTTAGCAGTTTCTGCTCTCGTCTAAATATGATTTAACCTCATATTTAATACATATTTGTCTTCTGCTCACACTGTGTTTTACAATTTTCTAATAGTTTTTACGAGACGCTTTTACACGCCCACTCTTCATTTTTACCACAAAACTGAAGCTGCTCTCACTGAAGAATAAATTGTGACTTCTGTAGTGAATCATGGCTTGCTGAAAAGCACAGCTTGCCTTCTTTCAGGAGCAGTTTTTATTATTTTGATATCACAAAGGTAACAGTAACAAAACGATAGCTTGGTTGCTTGAACGTCCAACAATACGTCAGGTCTCAAAAGCTTAATGATTTGCAGTCAAGTTGGAGAACTCAACCCAATTCTGTTGGGCACCATGTATCTTTAATATTAAGAATAAATTGTTGATGGATATGGATGAGCTTAAAAAAGCATTCAATTACAGTGGATTTAAAAAAAAAAAGATGTACATCCCTTGTCATGCAGCACATCCAGATGTTTAGTTTCTTGATTTATACGTGGAGGGAAGAGGGTGTAAAAGGTTCAGTAGTAGCTGGTGCAACCAGCTACTACTAAGTCTGCAGCTGCAGCTTTGAGGTGTCTGACCTCGGCCTGCAAACAGGAGTGGCCAGTTGGAGCCGATACTGTGGACGGGTGACAGGTCTGGATCAGAGGATGAAGATGCACACAACAATAATTGTGCTGATCTCTAAATAAGGAGCCGGATGTATATATTGTGTTTTTTTCTGTGCTGAGCAGCTCTGCGGGGTGCCCACTGCCCACTTTGACAGAACTGAGCATCAGCAGCTTGCTCACGCACTCGTTTCCTTGGTAATGCCAGCTACCACAGTGGACTAACTCAGAGAATCTGGCACAAAGGACAGGATGCCATTTATACTGCTGCTTTAGACCCACTCACATCAAGCACTGCCAGGATTAAACTCACCAGCCTCAACAAATTCAAATTATAAACATTAAACATGATTAGAAGTGAAATCTAAAATACCCCGCCCATTTTCTTTCTGGAGGAATATCTTTTATATGCACCAGCATACCGAGGACGACACCAGATTCAGTTTGTGGAAGCTAGGTGAGGAGCAAAACAGCAAAAATGTCCTTTTTTAGAGACGACTCCCTTAAAGAGATAAATAGCCTCCATGTGAGAACAGAAGGACGTCCTGAAGAGCTGATATAAGAAGACCGGTCGAATCCAAGACTAAAAATACCAAGCTAAAGATGAATGTGGTATACTAGGGGGTTAAAGTGTCATTTTTTAAAACTATCAACACAGACTCGCTTTTAAATGTTATTTTATTTTTATATGAGAAAACAAATGCTATTATATATTCTTGAATTAACTTGAAATTGAATTAAATTAAATTGCATTAAAAGAATAAAGATGTTTTTCTGGGGAAGTGGCAGAGGTGCTGTAGACTCTTCTTGGCCCTAGTTTTAAATATAGAATCCCACATGGACAACTATACATGAGAAGGATTAGATCACGAGAAATTATTAATATCCCTTTTAAATCTTTAACCAGCGCGTGTCGTTGGAAGACAGACGAAGCCTTTACGGCCCATCCTGCTGGCATCTAGGGATGAAAATGAATTTAACGGATCGGAGAGAGTTTGGTGACATTATATTTTTAAGTAGTTTGTGTGCTAGTGAATTACAAAGAAATAAACACTGAACAGAAGAGACAGAAAATTACTGGTTGCTGCCTTTATGTTTGTAGAGAATCTGAACATTTCTACTTTCAAGGTCCTCTGTCTGGCAGGGACGCAGCTAAAACCCGCAGACCTCGAATCACAGCGAGCAATCACAGCGCCGCAGTCACAGACATTTAAGAACACAAAAAATCCAACTGCTCTTAAGTTTCTAATAGGATGACAGAGTGCATCTATGATGAAGTCTTCATTCTCACTCAGCAGGCTGCAATAAATAGAAATTAGAGCTTCCTGAATTTTATTAATAATATTAGAATCAGTGCACTCATAATTTTTAGTCATTAACATTAAATTTAAGATTTAACCCATGTTTCAGTCCTGGAGCAGGGAATAGGAAGACGTTGAATTTGAAGTGCTAAATAAGAGAAGACACGGGAGCAGTTCATTGTTTTGCTGTAAGAATGAAAAATAAAACCAAGCGGTGACATCTTCAGATTGTTTGTTCTATCAAACCCTGAGTTTTATGTGTCGGCAATTCAACTATTAGCCAGTTTAAAACCAGTGCTCTGCTGACTCTGTAACTGCACAGCTCCAAACCTCCTCTGGCATGAACATCAGCATTGAAACTGTGTGCCAGGAGCTTCATGGCACGGGTTTCACTGGCCGAGCAGCTCCTGAAGGTGTGATGCGACAATTATTCATACAGTTTAGAATAATAACTTTATGAAAAAACAAAAAAACAAAACACTGAATATTTTTAAGATATATCAAAGTGTCAAAAAAGGTTACTTTGTCACAACCTATGTACAAAATCTATATTTACGGTTCGGTTTGACAAAGGTGGTTTGGATTAAAACACAACAGTTGCCACTTTTTTTATAGCCCTGTTCGCTTGGTCACGTGGCTGACGAGGCTGTTCCAAAATGTAGGTTCTGCAGCCTCAAAGCGTAGATGCCTCTGGATTTAAAATTAGAGCCTGTATCAGTCAAAAGGCCCTGATAACACGATTCAAGAGACCGACTGCTGGAAGGTGGTCTCAGCAGATTTGTTATATAAGCAGGAGCCTGGCCATGAAAGGTTTTAAAAGCAATTCTGAATTTCACTTTAATTGTTAGCGCTTTGACAGACTGGCGACCTGTCTGTGGTGTACCCTTTCTCTTGCTCTGTGACTGGAGGGACAGGCTCCAGCCCCCAGAGACCCTGAATTAGATATGTGGAAGAAAATGGATGGATGGATGAACAAATTTGGAATACTGATGCCAAAGAAGCACCAAAAAAGTAATATGTCAGCTTCTATCCATCTGTGATTAGACCCTCCCCACGACACCGAATATGTATGAATTGTCCAATAAATCAGATTCACCCCTTGCTACACTAAGCAGCTGCATATTTGGGCACAGCAGACAGATGCAATCACAGCCTGGCAGTCGGGCCTGAGTGACAGCTCCACCACAGCCGACAGGAGCGCTCTGCTCCCAGAGGCCTCTGAGCCCTTTAGCATGTGCTACCAGGCGGTGCGGACGCCTGCTTCTGTCTCTCTCGCGGCTGGATGGCTGCTTGATGGGAGGCTGCTGCTTTAGAGGCAGCAAATGTAGCTCACCTCGCTCACGTCCTCCTGCTGACTAAAGCCACCGCCACGCTCGGTTTCATCTTCCTGATGGCCCTCTGTCTCTGACTTTACTTAAGCTCTTACTTCAAAAGACTCAACTGGATCTGCTCAAATCTAACGCATGAAAATAAAAGCAAGTGAAACCGCGACTTCTTAAATCTGCTCATCGGGACAGATGTCTCCTACGGGCTGTATTCTTATCGTTTTTCCACCCTCACCAGGCAAATCTAGCTTCCCCGCTGAGCAGCCGCATAAACACTCACACGCAACTAATGTGCGCTGAATTTTAATTAATACTCCGTTGTCTCTGGAGTTGAGTCTGCAAAATCATTTACAGCCCTACCTGTCACCGAGCCAGGCGGGAAACAAGAGGCATTAAGACACGGGCAGAGGAGGGCAGCAACCACACACACACACACACACACACACACACACACACACACACACACACACACGCATCTGGGGAAGACTTTTTAGCTTTGGCTTTGATCTGTGGCTACATAGTTGAGGTAGCTTTAAAAAAGAAAAAAAAACAAAGGAAAAAACGCACCATCAACAAGGACTTTCAAATGATTT